CGTCCAGGTAGATCTTTAATTCCCCTTCTGGGTCCTATGAGCCTGTATACAGTGTTTAAGAATGACTAGCTATTTTTATGAGTGGGATATTTTTTGCCTTGTTTAAATCACTTAGAACACAAATGATATTAACTCAACTGAAGTAATTTGAGAAAAGAGGGATTCGTGAGGTTCACGAGAAAATAATTAGAGCAACAACTTGTGAAGTTAAAGCAGATGTCACTTATCACCATTTCCCGCTGGCTGTTCCATGTTAAATGGAGATTTTAGTTCAGATAAACACATTCTAAGAATCACTACTGGGTGTGCTTACATCAGCTTGCATCTTCGTGTCTACTAGTTCTTCACTGAAATGTTAGCCTATCACCTTGCTCGAAGAGTGAGAAAAATAAGAATTACATACTAAAAATTTCTTGAAATTACATTTGATACTCCAAGAATATCTTTTTAGATAGTAGTAAGGATTAAAAAGCCATTTTTTCACTGCTGTTGAGCAGCACACAGGAAATGAAATATATGGGTATTTCACTTTATTATTCTGTTTTTATTTTGGCAAGTATGTCCCTGCTTTGAAAACTTCTACAGGCTCAAAGTGGATTCCAATCCCAATGGCAACTGTATCCCTCATGGTATACATTTTAAAGTAAAGAAATATGCAGATTGTTAATTAATGTCATTGTTAAAAGTTACATTACTCTTTACTTATAGAATAATAGAAAAGTAAGATTATTCTTTATTATGCAGTTGAATTTATATCTTTCTCAATTCAAGAGATAAAAATCAGCAAGCATCGAATTACTAAATATATGTTAGCTATCTGTTTAAGCATCAAATGTGTTAGGAATTATCTGGAACATAGGTTTTTGCCCCTTTGGTTTACTATCTAAATAATAAAGTACTATTTTCCTTCAATGATTTACATTGGAGGAGTCTCTCTTTTTTTTTTTGTATCTTTTGTGACAATATTGTCACATGTAATTTGGAAATAAAAATTGTCTGTTATTACACTGATTGTATGACTTTTTTTAAATTTTCTTAATGCTATATTTTAGTTTGTAATGTTGCTATTTTAGCCTCTTCTAATTAATAAGATATGGTATATAAAGTGATTTTCATATTTAAGCCCAGGAAGTTTCATAAAGTTCCTCATATCATATCTTATAACATTCAGGAAAATTCCAGGAAAAGGAGGTAAGAAGCTGTATTAAGAAAAAGAAAAACAGAAATGAACTTCATCTTGGTTACTTGGAACGATCTTCTGATTAGAATCCCGTTTTCAGTTAGAACAAAGGGGATACATGGGAAGAAATAAAAGGTAAACTGAGGCAACATTAGCATTAATCTTGTTCGAAATGGATGTTTATTTCCTTGAAGTTAGGTGCTGAGCAGTTCACACTCAGGTCGACTTGCAGGGGACCCTGAGCCCTCAGAGCACTCCCACCTGGTCACACGAGCACCGCTGTTCCTCAGCCATGCGTAGCTACAGCAACAACCCCGATTTTCATGGTATTGAAATTCCTGTCCTTCATGTCAAAATGCTTCCTAACTGTAATTAAACTATTTGCTGTGTCTCACTGCTGTTTTCCACTGGTTCTTTTTCTCCCCCCTTCTTTTAAATTCTTAAGCAGGCTCACTTTTCTAAGTGCTATTTGCAATCTCCAACTACTTTCAGAAGAGGAGGAAACACGTTTTTGTCTACACAAGCTGACTTTTTGTATACTGTTCTCAACCCTGACCGGACTAAAGCTTCACACGTAACAAGGCATCATTACATTTTAGTGATAGTAACAAGGAAATGGCAACCCACTCCAGTATTCTTGCCTGGAAAATCCCATGGATGGAGGAACCATGGGGTCGCAAAGAGTCAGGCACGACTGAGCGACTTCACTTCACTTCACTTCAACAAAATGCCTATTTTATAAACAAGGCACATCTGTTTAAGAGAGATTTAGAGTGCTTAAATCCACTCCACTAGGTAATGAAAATAGGGGAAAAAAAGAAAGAAAAGTCTCTTTCAATTAGTAGAAATTCGTTTCAACTAGTCAAACGTTAGTAATTCTATTAACCATATTTTAAGTTAATTTTTTAAGCTAACATTTTGGACAATGATCCCGAAGTCCTATAATATGAGGACCTACCTGCTTTGTAGGAAATGCTATTAATAAGAAATTGTTCCCAGTTACATTATCTGGTGATAAATTCATATTAACCCAATAAAGTAGTTGATTGTATCAGATTTATCAATGTCTTAAACATCTATTTTGTGCTAAAGTGTGTGTGTGATCCTGTCGACTCCAAAATGCAAATCTGCATCAGCCACCCAGCTGTGCCTCTTGGGAGGGGCTGCCTTCCAGGGGTGTCTCCCGTCCCCACACCTCTTGCTGGGTGAGTTGGATGTGCAGGTCCCTGGGTCCCTTGACACTGGCCCTTCTGGGCACTGAGCTGGTAGCAGTTGCCCTAAGAGGTGAGGGCTTCCCTGGTAGCTCAGTGGTAAAGAATCCACCTGCCAATGCAGGAGATGCAAGCGACGCAGATTCGATCCCTGGGTTGGGAAGATCCCCTGGAGGAGGAAATGGCATCCCACTCCAGTATTCTTGCCTGGGAAATCCCAGGGACAGAGGAGCCTGGCAGGCTACAGTCCATGGGGTCTCAGAAGAGTCTGACACGACTGAGCGACTCAACAACAGCAGCAGAAGGAACAAGGAGATGGATGGCTCCCTCCAGGACAGACAGCAGGCTTGCTTACTTCCTGCTTCTAAGAGGTGGATCCCCACGCCCGGTGAACCAGCCAGGGCACCGCAGCCCCCGCTGCAGGGACAGCCACTGGGACGCCCCGTGTCACCCTCGTGATGCTCAGGGAGGGGGCGAGAGGGGCGGAAGCAGTCTTGCTGTTTTCTGCGGCAGAAGTCACGGACCCCCAAAGTCACCTCCTCTTCCAGCAAGCATGTCTCTGAGTGATCGGCTCATAAGGAAATTGCAGTGAAATCTCAGCCCCTCCGGGGAAGCTCAGAGAGGAGGGGAGAGAGAGCCTGTGTGTACACAGGCAAAGCCAAGGGCCAGAGGCCGTTAGGACAGAAATAGATCCAGCTTCACAGGTGAGGTTGGTGTACGCTAGAGCTGGCATTTTATTTCATGTCTCAGGAAGATAGACTATTTGACAAATGATGTTGGCGTAACCGGAAAATATATCTGAAGACACATGAAAATTGCATCCCTGACTCCTTCCACGAAAATGTCAGGTGAATCAAAGTTGTACATGTTAAAACATGAAACCACAAAATGCAGGAGAAAGGGAAAAATGATAAATTTAACTTTCTGAAATAGAATTCTGTGCAGAAAAATGCAGTAAAGGCAAAAATCAAAGGACAGACAGCAAACTGGAAAGAAATCACAGACATTATCACAGAGGAAGTGCTAATTGTGTGTTTATTTCATACGTTCAAGGATCCTGTAAAGGCAGCAACAAAGAGACCACAAACACGATATAAAAAAGGGTAAAAGATCTGGACACAAAGGTCACAGTGATGAAGAGAAATGCAAGAAAGTCTTAAACCAATAACAGCCTGCTTCACCTTTCTCAAAATAAGGTAAATGCAGATTAAAACCACAGGGTGGTACAGTCATTTATCCATCAGATTGGCACCAATCAAGAAGTTGGATTACACGTGAGTCTGTCAGGATGTCAGGAAAGGTTCCCATACAAGGTTGCTTGATGGTCAGACCCAAACAGCATCCACGCAGGACAATCCAACTGTGTCTATCAAAGTGACAGATGTCCGAGCTCCTTGACTGACAGTTTCATGTCTAAGAATCATTGGTACGTATGGGGAATGATTGCCTTACAAGAGTATTTATTGTAGAGGACAGAACCTGATGTGCACATGAGAAGTAGTATGTACTGGAGGACCTTCATTCCAGTCTCGTCTGGAACAGCAGAAATTTGGAAGCAAGTCGAAGGTGAGCAATTTGGAACTGGTCAAACCATATATGAATGCAATACTATACAACTGTTACATGTCAAAGCTTTATTCATAGCATAACATCTCAAGGTGTGGGTTAAGCAGGGAAAATATAACACAAGGATCTGTTAAATATTCAGAGGTGTAAAAGTAATGTATTTTAATGTAAGGACTCTGTAGACCTTAGTGAGGTCATGGCTGTGATCTGAAATGCTGAAAGGTTTGCTGGGTAGGCTGTCACAGAGGTTTGGACTGGAGGTATCGGTTTGGGAGTGCAGGCATATAGCAGTATTTATCTGTGGGATGCACTAAAACCTAGGCATCATATTAAAAAGCAGAGACATCACTTTGCTGACAAAGCTCTGTCTAGTCAAAGCTATGGTTTTTCCAGTACATGTATGGATGTGAGAGCTGGACCATAAAGAAAACTGAGCGCCAAAGAACTGATGCTTTTGAACTGTGGTGTTGGAGAAGAATTTTGAGAGTTTCTAGGACAGCAAGGAGCTCAAACCAGTCCATCCTAAAGGAGATCAGTCCTGAATATTCATTGGAAGGACTGATGCTGAAGCTGAAGCTCCAATACTCTGGCCACCTGATGTGAAGAGTCGACTCACTAGAAAAGACCCTGATGCTGAGAAAGATCGAAGGCAGGAGGAGAAGGGGACGACAGAGGATGAGATGGTTGGATGGCATCACCGACTCGATGGACATGAGTCTGAGCAAGCTTAGGGAGGTAGTGAAGGACAGGGGAGCCTGGCGTGCTGCAGTATTTGGGGTTGCAGAGAGCTGGACATGAGTTAGCGGCTGAACGCAACAATGCGCTAAACTCGCAGTGAGAGGTGAGATCGGGAGGAGCGCCCATACCACACTCAGGTTTCCAAGTCAGGGTCAGGAAGGGGAGCCGGCGGAGGACACTCGGGAGAGGCAGCCTTTGGAGCAGGGAAAGCAGCAGGGTTTGGGATCAGGAGAAGGCATGGAGGAGAGCCTCGGGGATCGCGATGCTGAGAGACCCAGGGAGGCCGATCTGGCTCCTCGGGCGAGATGTCTGTGGAGAGGAGGAGGTCGGAAGGCAGCCCAGAGAAGACGGGAAAGGTGAGCCTCGGCCCTGGGGATGACTTGAACGACGGAAGCTCTTCTGTGATGGGTTGCAAGTGCTGTCCTGGCAGGAGCGGCGGGGACGAGGGAGGACACAGAACTCTGAGGGAAGCCGCGGTGGACGGCCAGCGGCATCCTCGGGAGGGAAGAGAGGTTCAGGTGACACAGACTTGGGTGGACAGTGACTGGGAGCTTGAGAGAACCACGGAAGAGCTCAGGAGATGCCGGAGGAGGCAGGGCTCGTAGGAAGACAGCTTGGCCACTTCTTACAAAGCCATGCCTAATCATAGCGTACCATCTAGGAGTCAGGCTCCTTGGAATTTTCTCAAAGGAGTCGAAAACTTAAGTCTGTGTAAAATGCAAACACAGATGTTTATAGCGGCTCTCCTCATAATTGCTCAAAACAGAAGCAATCAAGACTACCGTTCACAGGTCAATGGATAAATAAACTATGGTACATTCACAGAATGGAATATTATTCACTGATTTCTTTAAAATGAACTCTCAAACCATGAAAGGTGTAAAAGAACATGAGATGCACATTAATAAGTGAAAGAAGTCAATCTGGAAAAGCCACTTACTGTATAATTCCTACTATATGACATCCTGGCAAAGGCAAAACTAAGGAGTCAGTGATAATAAACAAACCAGCGGTTGCTGGGGGTGGAGGAGCGGTGGGCAGGCAGAGCAGAGAGGATTTTTAGGTCAGTGAAAATGGAACTGCGCTTGATGTGAGGATGGTTCTGTGTCATTACACATGTATCCAAGCCCATAGACTGTTGACCACCCAGAGTTAACCTCAGGTGATCTATGGACTTGGGGTGATTATAATGTGTCAATACGCATTCACTAGTGGTAAACTTGTATCAGTCTGTTGAGTGAGGTGATAACAGGAGAGACTCTACCTGGGGAGTGGGGTGGGGGAAACCTCTAAACCCTCCTCTCAATTTCGTGGTAAACCTCAAATTGCTCTAAAAAAATAAAGTCTTAAATTCTGTCTCAAAACTATGTCCCTGGAGAATGTTCCTACGTGTCACAGAACCATGTATTTTAACATAGCTCTTTTATGTTATATGAATTCTACCTATAAGAGTGCACCTTGACAAAACCTCCTCACCTCTACCGAGAAGGATCAAGTAACTCCGTGGTTACCCTATAGCACCAAAGAGACAAACTAAAGCATGATCTTGCTTCAAAAGATGTTCTTATTTCAAAAAGAGACCAGAAATGGATGGAGAAAATTAAAAAAGGGAAAGCGAGGCTGAAATGCAAAATGCTGACCTTCCCACATTAAGGAGAAAAGAACCAGCTAGTACCCTAATCCCATGAGATCCAAAAAAAAGTTTAACCAGCCAGCCTCTCCTGGGGGGGGGTTCTGGGAGGTGCCAGGCCCTGACTTTGAATCACCCGGGATGCCCTTGAACAGAAGGCATCAGGACCCACACTCCTGCATTAACAGTGTCTGGGGGAACACCCTAATTTGGTTGCCCAAAGAGGCTTTTAACCCCCAACCACATAATTATTTCATAACAAACACACGTTCGTCTTCCCCGTTGACCTCCTGCAGCACACCCTCCCTTTCACCTGAGGCTTTGCAGCCACTGAACCTCCGTGTGTAAACACGTTTGCTGAGACTGTGGATGATTTCTATTGCCGCGTAAAATGCTACCTCTGCATTCTGATTAGATTATTGAAGGAGTAATTGCTTAGGGAAGAAAATCTTTAGACTGCAGAGAAGTGAATGGAGGAAAATTGAAAGGCGACAAGAGTGTCCCACCCAGAGGCAGTCACCATCAATGCTTTCAGGACATTCTGGCTGTCTTTTTGTATGCGTGCGTGCTGCTGTGCAAAATGGAGACCATACTGCTTTAAGCTGTTCCCAGTGTCATCAATGTCTTACGGCTACACACCCTTCCATTTTTTTCACTGCAATCACCTGGTCCTTTCACTGGCCTGCACTTGCTGCCCACGGGCCACCAAGCTCGGCCTGTTTGGGAGAACCAGATCAGCCCGTGAGCATCGTCACCGCTGTCTGATGGTCCATGTCCCCGAGACTCTGTGGCCTCAGCAGATGCTGTCCGTGGATGTGGACGGTGGTCCACACATTCTGCTGCACATCTGTGAGCCTGCTGCACACGGGAGCCCTGGCTAATGAGGACCCAAAGAGGAAGGACACAAAACCAAGCCAATGAAATAGAAGATACAGCAGGGATGATCCCGAACACTTCACCACTCCCATTTTATAGGCGGTGAAACTGAGGCATAGACAGTGCTTAATCTGCAATTCCACAGCTGGTGAGGAACACAGGGAGATTCAGGGCCATCCCACCCCCAAAGCTGTGTGGCCACAGGCGGGCTCAGGATGCACGCAGCCACTGTAACTTTTTCACATTCCCACCATTAGCTGAGCAAAAGGCCGGCTGTGTCCTCCTGAGTGCAACGTGATGAGCTGTGTGCTGGAAGAGACATCACAGTAATGGTGCAGTGATGAAGCCATGCTTACACACCAGGAGGGGCTTCCCTGGTCACTCAGATGGTAAAGAATCTGCTTGCAATGCAGGTTCGATCCCTGGCTTGGGAAGATCCCCCAGAGAAGAGAACGGCAACCCACTCCAATATTCTTGCCTGGAAAATCCCATGGACAGAGGAGCCTGGTGGGTTACTGTTCATGGGGTTACAAAGAGTCGGTCACAACTGAACGACTAACACACACACCAGGAACCCAGATTAGGGTCCTGGCTTCCCGCTCCCTTCCTTCCTGGGGAGAAGCTCTGGGCTAGGGAGATGGGGGGAAAGGACGCATAGGAACAGTGACCTGACATCACTTGTAGTCCTCAAATTCTTTAAGGAGCTGAGTTTGATTTGTGGAGTGCTCTGAGTTTCAGAGAATGACCTGTAGACCCTTCAGCCACCAGAGCGACACACAGAATCCCCAGGGGACCCCAGAACTCAGCCCGCCTCTCAGAACCTCGATCCACTGGCTGTTCGCTGTTCAGATGCTTCCAGTCAGCCCCTGGCAAGAGCCACTCTGGGGAAAAGCCCATCTGGTACCTTGAGCCACTCTGGGGCAAAGCCAGTCTAGTACCTTGAGCCATGCTGGAGAAGCCCATCTAGCATCGTGCTCACGGTACCATGACCAAACATGAACTTGAAGGATCCTGCCATATGCAAGAATCCCTGACTGTTCCCTGAGCCTGAGCCCTGGGCTCAGCATGGTGACTGGAAGCACCAGTGGAAGCTTCCAGTGTGATGCTAAGAGCGTTCCTGGAAGTACCTGGCTGCAGATTTATGAAAACCTGGCCCAGGCATAAAGGTCTGTAAGCTATTGTTCTTTGTAAATCTTTGGAACCGTTGTGTGTTCTGCCTCCGACCACTTGGCAACGATGGGAAGACATCACCACGAGGTACAGGTAGAGCCGCAGAGGGGCTCTGGCTGAGACGGGAGGAGGCGAATCAACCAGGCAGGAAGTTGGACCCCTTTGAGGAGCAAAGACACCGACTCCTTTGCAGGGAAAGCACATCAACTAAAGGAAAAGAAGGGGGGACTTCCCTGGTGATCCAATGGCTAAGACTCTGTGCTCCCAATCCAGGGGTCCAGGGTTCGATCCCTGGTCTGGGAACTCTAATAGATCCTGCATGCTGCGATAAACTAAAAGAGCCCAAGTGCTGCAACCAGGAGCCAGCGCACCAAATAAACACATAAATAAACAAATATTTAAAAAGAAGAAAAGAAAGGGATCCCAGGAGCACTGACACGCTGACACTCCCCGGGGGGTCCGGGTCTGGGCGTGACTCTGCCGTCCGCCCTTCCCCGGCCCTCCATGGAATCCTCTGCCAGCTGCAGGGGTGCTCCTGTTTGCCGCCACCCCTCCTCCCCAGCTTCCTTCCAGCGCAGCTCCACCATCCGAGTCAGGACGTGCCTCCTCCCTCCCTTCCGTGGGGTCACGGTGGGCTCACAACCTCCCTCTCTCCTCGGGGGGCCCGAGGTCCGAGAGTCACGGGGTCCCCGCCAACGGGACGTGGGTGATACGTTCTGGACGGGCCCCCCCGGGGAGCAGGACACGTGTTCCCGAGCTTCTGCACCTTCTGGAACCACCGAGGACCCGGAGGCGGTAGGCGAGTGCTGGGATGGCAGAGCCGCCTTGTCAGTTCCGTCTCACCTGCTTCTGGAGCGAAGCCGAGCCCAGGCCAGCCCCCCGCCTCAGAGGAGTGTGTGCCAAGCCTCTCAGCCTCCCCGCCTCGTCTCTGTTACCGGCCACGGCGCTGGCTGTGAACTCAGGGAGGCCGCGGCTTGCCTCGTGCTGACCGCGCCTCAACTCGAATGCCCGTCTCTCCTCGCTTGCTCTTGCCCTGGGCTTCTCTGATACTGAGGACCCAAGAAAACGTCTCAGCGTTCAGCTTATGCTACACAAAATCGTGGGAAACTAGCATGCCATGCAGCAACCCTCAAACAAAGGGGGTTGCCCTTCGGCACGCGGAATCTTCCCGGGCCAGGGGTGGAACCTGTGTCCCCGGCGCTGGCAGCTGGAGTCTTGACCACTGGGCCACCAGGGAAGTCACGAACAACTACTGAGCCCGCACGCCTAGACCCTGTGCTCCACGCAGAAGAAGCCGCCGGAGCAAGGAGCCCTCGCAGGGTGACGGAGGGCAGCCCCTGCTTGCCGCAACTGGAGAAAGCCTGTCTGCAGCATGGAGACCCAAAAACAAAATAACCCCCCAAAAAAGCTACTAAAGAAAAGGAGGGTGAGAGCAGATGGTCGTGTGTGTCTCCCTTTTACACACGCCCCAGGTGGTGGTGTACACACGTCCCTACAGAAGAGACGCTGAGACGCGCAGAGGGAGCGCCGATGGCGTGACGACCCCCAGGGAGGAGCCGCCTGGGGATGGAGGCAGAGACCGGGGCCGCAGGTCTGTTAGAGTCGGGCAAGGACCGCGGGCAGCAGAAACCCCGAGGAGGTGTGGAGCGGCTTCCCCGGTCCTTTCCTGCGCAGCTCGGCTCTGCCAGCAGTACTTTGCTGCGAAGCACTAGGGAACCGCCACAATTAGCCTGAAACACGTTGTAATTCCCGATAATTACAAAGCAATAAAAGACGACCGGGTTTATTTCAAAAGAACTAATGAGCCAGCTTGACAAATACCCCCTTGGCCAAAAGGGTGCAATTTGAGTTTGAATAAGGGTAGAAATGGCAAAGACTGACGTATGTCACATTGGCTTCAATCCTTGTGATCATAATGATATTTTGAAAAACCAAATTGGTCACTTCTTGAGAGGCGTGAATAACGAGTCTATTATTTTGAAACCTCAGTAAATAAAAGGATAGAATCAAGCACTTTTAATGCTTATCCGCCATCAACTGTAGACATTTAACAAAAGATTAGATGAGGATTGAAAGCTCTTATAAACTTACTCTAGCTAAGAAATGGAAACAAAATGATAAATTTTGACTCCAACTATTTACCAATCCCCAGTGAATCTACTGGATCGAGGCATCAAAAAGGACAAATAAACAGACTTAACATACCTTCTGAGGGTATGGTTCAATGTGGCCTCACTGAAGGAACTGATCCCAAGTCTGAATAAACCTCTGAATCCAGCCACACTCAGAAGGCACACAATAACTTCTGGACTCAATCAGTAAGATCTAGTCTTTAGAAACACATCTGGACAAATGGCCCACATTCTTCAACAGATGAACAGTAAGCCAATGAATTAGATGGTGGGGAGTGATGTGTGAATTCAAAACTCAATCAAGTTTAACTATTGGATTGACCAAAACATTCTTCTGATTTTTCCATAGCATCTTTGAACTTTTTGACCAACCCAACACAGCACCAACCCAATATAACAATTCAAACTGTGGTGTTGGAGAAGACTCTTGAGAGTTCCTTGCACAGCAAGGAAGTCAAACCAGTCAATCCTAAAGGAAATCAACCCTGAATATTCATTGGAAGGACTGATGCTGAAACTGAAGTTCCAATACTCTGGCCAACTGATGCAAAGAGCCGACTCATTGAAAAAGACCCTGATGCTGGGAAAGATTGAAGGCAGGCAGAGAAGGGGGACACAGAGGATGAGATGGTTGGGTGGTACCATCGACTCAATGGGCATGTGTTTAAGCAAACTCCAGAAGATGGTGAAGGACAAGGAAGCCTGGCGTGCTGCAGTTCATGGGGTCGCGAAGAGTCAGGCACAACTCATCGACAGAATGACAGCAATACAACAATAAAGAACTGTAAGGAAGCAACCGGTGTCAAAGCCAGGATAGTGGTGGCTTTGGGGGAGGGGCAAGAGCCGGTGAGATGGATGACACAGCCAGGGCTTCTGGGGAGGCTGGCATCGCTGAACGTGTTGACCTGGTTGCCATCACAAACACACTGGCTTCGCTGCCACTGACAAAGGCCCGCCTTCCGTGGTGCGTCGTCAGACCCGTGTTTGCCGAGCTTGCCCAGAGGGCGCGCCTCTCCCCTTTCCATTGTTTTCACGCTGATGTCAACTCCTTGCCCTTTTTCTGCGAGTCCTCATTGTCTCTGAGATCATTTAATAAGGTTTACTTCTCTAGGTTGGACAAGTCTCTACAGAGACAGAGGTGCACTTCTCCGTGGGGAGGGAAAGCAGTCTGACGTTTTTGGCAGTAGTGAACCCTGGTCATGAACTTTCACATGGAATGTTACTGGTCCAACACACCCGGGTGATGGCAGCGGGTCCATCTCTGTTTGTACATCCATCCAGTGCTTGCTGCCAAAGAGTGAGAGAGAGTATTCGGGACCTCTGTGTAAGCAGAGGGGAATTCCCAGGGGATGCCAAGTGGATGGGAGGGAACTGAGACAGCAGTAATCAGCCTGACATTTATAGGAACCTTCCAGGGGAGAAGTTAGTTTCTATGGACAGTGGACCCCAAGGCCTCAGGAATGGATGAGATTCAGGAGGTGTACCTGTCAGGACTCCTTGGCTTGCCATGAACTCAATCTAAGCTGAAATCACTGTCTTGGGACATTATTAATACGTTATACTTTACTCGTGCCTCAGAGGTTCAAGACCATGGGGCGGGACTGTCCCTCACTGGTGATGAGAAAACCACAGTCCCTGCAGAAGGTCCTCTGAGATCTGTCACCATCACCTACCACCAGCCAGAATGAAAGGAGACGAGACAGTCAAGGGGACTGGTGGCCCAGCTTCTGGCCCTGAAGGCACTTGCTGGCCTTCTTTGGATTTTGTGCTCTCAAGTCCCCTGACGGACATCTAGGGGAATCTTTGGCCACCAAGGATGCACTTTCATGAAGAGGAGGTAACCTCGAGACCCTCACAAGACCTTCACTGCACCAAGAAGTCCACCTCCAGGAGCCCCAGGCGGCCGACCGGCTCTCCTGGAGTGGGTGGGCGTGTTTGGAGGAGGAGACTCTTGACTTCTTCCTTGGAGAAGCAGGAAGGCTGAAGTAGCCTGCAGTAGCAGAACCAAAGATAGGCGGCGGGGGAGAAACACGCTTTTCCAGAATCGGAGGAGGAGAGGCCAGGGAGCCAGGTTTCCCCAGGGACCAGCTGGGGACCAGGAGAGGTCGCTGAGTGGGATGGAGCCCCAGGGCTTCTCCCAGGAAAGTGGAGGGGGAAGACAGCATGGGGGGGGTCTCCTGACTCCGCAGTATGGAAACGCCCCACGTCTAGACGTTGGCAAACAAGGAACAGACGGTCAGACCACGACACTGTTCAGGCAGGACCGTCTCCCGTCCCTTCTGTGGAAGCCAGTGTACCCAGGGAAAGCCACGGCATGGAGAACTGGAGGACAAATGCCAGCCTTCTTCTCTCCTCACCCATCCCCACATTTCAGGGAACCCCTGAGCTGAACCGAAGAGCTGTTTGGCCAGGAAGAAAGGGGAAGTCTTCGATCAGGATGGGAGCGGGATTTTTAGTGTCTGAGAAAGTGAGTGTGCCCATGACCAAGGAGGACAGAAGGGTCACGGGACCTGCTCGAGTGTCTTGAGGAGGCAAAAAGGGCAAAAGATGTAGAAGGCGTTTGAAGCCCGTGGTACCCACGGGTTGCCCTGACTTCATTAGAAAAAACTTACTGACATGGAGCAGGAAATCTAGATGGAGTGCACTTGGGACCTGGAGTTTAAAGCTTAAATGGTAGAATATAACCTAGCCTCTCTCTCTCTGCCCCTCCCTCCCCTCCCCCTTCTCAAGTTCTTTGTATTGCATTTTCCCTGTGGGCTGTGTTGTCAACAGCTGCAAGCTGACTCTCTCCATGTGGTCGAAAAGATGACTGGGTCTTTGGTCTTTACATCGAGTGACCCAGAGGCAGAAAGAGCCTCTCTGCCAGCATCTCCATGTTCGTTTTTCACAGAAGGACTCCAGCTGGTCCTGCCTGGACTCTATGCCTTGAATCCACCACTGAGATGGGCAAATGGGACACCAGGATTGCCAGGCTCAGCCAGAGGCCCGTTTAGTGTCTGAGGACAGGGGTCCCAGAGGTAACCAGCCAGCCAGAGTCGCCTGGGATGGAGGGGGATGTTCTTAGTGGAAAGAGAAGTGTCAGGACCCATAGAATAAGGAACTGGAGAGTTAAGGGTCAGCAGAGGTACCGCAGGAGCAATCGTGAGAGAGCAGCCACAGAAGCGCCTTGACTCTCCCCCAGGAATGATGAAAGGACTCAGTGTTTTAGCGTCCACTCCGCTGACATCTTCAGTGGAGCAGAAATGAGGTCCTATCTCCTTACTCACCTTTGCTGCTTGGTGTCTGCAGCTTTGAGATGCTGAGTGGAAGGAAAAGAAAGTACTGAGCTTACATGAACATATTCAGAGTAGGCAAACCTCAGAGAGGCCTTCCCTGGTGGCTCAGTGGTAAAGAATCTGCCTGCCAGTGCAGGAGATGCAAGAGACGCAGGTTCTGTCCCTGGGTGGGGAAGATTCCCTGGAGGAGGAAATGGCAACGAGCTCCAGTCCTCCTGCCTGGAGAATCCCATGGACACAGGAGCCTGGCGGGCTACAGTCTATGCGGCTGCAAAGGGTCAGACACAACTGAGCGACTGAAAAACAACAAAACTGAGGAGGCGAACAGTGAACTGAAGCAGGGACCGACACAGGCAGCCCTGCTGGAAACGCCACCCCACTCCATCCGAGGCAGCGAGCAACACACAAAGGCACGCGTTCGAGTGGCCAGTAGTGCAGAGTCTCCCACCTGTGGCTGATACTTCCTTTCAACATACGACAACCAGAGGAATACAAGGGATGCATCGTCGTAAATTATCACCCAGCGTCTAGCATGCATTTCCGTGCACGTTGCTACACAGGCTACCCATCTCCCTCCAAGTAATCTCAAAGTGACTGCGTTTGCTAAATGACACAATAACTGAAGGTGTTTTTTTGTTTT